CAACAGAGACAGGCTTGAACTCAAATGTTTTTAAATTCATGTCCTTAGCATTCCCCATTATGTTCACAAATCAATGTTTTTAATGAGGGGACGGAGTACTGGAAAGGATTTGAGAGGGCAAGGCATGATGGAATGCCCTGTATTCTCAGCTACTCAGGAGATGGAGGTAGGGAGATCAGCCAGGACAAAGTTAGCCAGATGCTATCTGAAAAACAATGAAAAGCAAAAGAGTTGGGGGCATGATTCAAGTAGTAGAGTTGCCTAGCAAATAGAAGGAGGCCCTTAGTTCAAATCTCAGTACTACAAGAAAAAAAAAGGAGGGATAGTATGTTTCACCTGATTTACTTTTTTTTTTCAGTTGTGGGGCTTGAACTTGGGACTTGGGTGCTATCCCTGAGCCTCTTTGTGCTCAAGGTTAGTTCTCTACCACTTAAGCCACAGCACCACTTCCAGATTTTGAGTGGTTAATAAGAGTCTCACAGGGAGTTTTCTACCCAGGCTGGCTTCAAATTGAAATCCAAAGATCTCAACCTCCCGAGTAGCTAGGATTACACGTGTGAGCCACCAGCACCTGGTTTTAATGTACAAGTTTTGACTTCTAAGTAATACATTGTTATTCTCTGGTATCCATAACTCAAGCAGGCAAAAATATATAGTTTCAAAACGATAACGGTATTGTCAGGCATTCCTCTTCTTACATCCAAGGAGCAAAACTTTGTGGCACATTCCTGGAGACATGTGTGTGTGTGTGTGTGTGTGTGTGTGTGTGTGTGTGTAAGAGAGAGAGAGAGAGACAGAGAGAGACAGACAGACAGAGAGAGACAGAGACAGAGAGACAGAGATAGAGAGAGTGTTAGGACTTGAATTCAGGGTGCTATCCCTTAGGTTTTTCTCTCAGTATTGGTGCTCTACCACTTAGCCATAGCTCCATTTCCAGCTTTTTGGTGGTTTTTTGGTGATAAGATTTCACCAAACTTTTTCTGCCCAGGCTGGCTTGGAACTATGCTCCTTAGGCCTCAGCCTCCTGAGTAGCTAGGATTACAGGCGTGAGGCACTGGTCCCTGGAGAGTTGTGTAGTCTAACCAGTTGCAGATGGTGTTCTCAAGTGTAATCATCCTTCTTGGTAAAGTATTTGTAGTTATCTACTGAAATAAATTCTGGACTAAATTGCAAACACTTCCAAAACAACTTATTCTGTGCTCTTCTGCCTTGTTTGTGTTCCAGCCTTTCTGTGCTAATGATTTTGTAAATGTGGTTTAATTACTGTTTACTGAAAAATAGCAGCACACAAATCAGTGGGAGACATAGCCAAAATGTGTCCAATTTGCTTCTAGTGCAAAATAGCTAATAAATGAGAGAAGTACTTGTTAAATGTTGGGAAAGGAACTTAGGTGAAGTTTGAAGAAATCGTGCTTGGGAGCAAATCATTCTTTAAAGTAGACTGAAATATCAGAATAACAATATTCTATGCCCCAAGGCCAGATACAGGTGATTTGCATATAATGAAATTGTAATAATGGAGAGTTGACTGAGCACCACCCCCAAAGAACTATAGTTTAAAGAACTTCCCAAAAGGAAAACCTGAAATCACTCGTAAATTCCATGAAGTGTTTTTGGAGCTCTGTAAGCTCATGTATTATGTATTACCTCATGTTTCTGAATTCTTGCCTAGGGCAAATTGCCAACTTAGCAACTAAATGACAGTTTTGAAAATTCTTATACACAAACCAGCCTCTTCAGTTTTATTTTCTTCCAAAAAAATATACCAGAACACAAAAGGGAAATGAATGTTATTTCAATGCTTAGTTTATAAATTCTATTCTACGCTCCATTTGGATTTGTAGTTTAATTTTGCTCTTATATAGAGGAGTTTGCTGGGGGGTTCCCCTGGACTTCTGGTCATGCCAGTTGCCCATTGTAGGACAAGATGTTCATTCTTCCTGCCCTTCAGAGGATATCTGCCTCTGAGAAAAATCATGACCAACGTCGAACTCCAGTTCCTAACTCAGAATAAAAGTCAGCTTGTTTAGATTCCCCTAGAAATAAGACCATGACTGTTCCAATTAGATAGGAAGAATAGATTCTGGTTTATTTCTTTAAGCCAAATGATTCAGTAATTCATGAGGTTTCGCTCCAGTTTCCTGATCTATAGATGTTACAAATGAAATAGGCCATGTAAGGTGCAAAAACAGTCCTATCAGAATTTCTTTTCAGTGAGACCACCATACAGATGGTACTGAGTGTTTCTAAGACCAGTTCTTTTCAAATTTAAATTATATTTTTCATTTTTGTTTTCCAGTACATGGTGGGACTTGACCTCAGGGCCTAGGAGCTGTTCCTGAGCTCTTTTGCTCAAGGCTAGTGCTCCACTACTTTGAGCCACAGCTCCACTTCTGGTTTTTGAGTAGTTAATTAGAGGTAAGACTCTCACAAGGACTTTCTTCCCCGGGGCTGGCTTGGAACTGCGATCCTCAGATCTCAGCCTCCTGAGTCGACAGGATGACAGGTGTGAGCCACCGGTGTCCAACTCTAAATTGTCTTTAATAGTTGTACAAAGCAGTTTCAGTTCAACGTGTCAGTTTTTGGATACAGTATATCTCAATTGATATCACCCCTTCCATGTTCCCCCCACTCTCTTCTAGCCCACCCATCTCCAGCTTCGCATATGCACATTGAATATTTCGACTGCATTCACCCAGCACTCCTCTCTCCATTTCCTAAGACCAAATTTTAACTGTCTGAAAGCTAGCATGACCGTTAGCATGCTGAAAGCCAGGACTTCCTCCTGGGGTACAGCCTCCTCTCCCAAAAAGACTGTTCTATATTTGCGTATTGTGATTATCTTCCTGTCTACCAGTGGTTTCTTCTCACTTAATGCTCCTTCCTTCATTAGTTTACCAGACACCACCCTGTGATGGCCCTGGAGATACAAATGTGTCTGTGTGCCCAGGGCTGACTGTGCAGCAGGAGAGAGACCGATGAAAATGAATATATCTTCCAATGCACAGACCCTGCAATCCGGATTAAAATGCCATCAGGATGTCTTTCAGATAGCCTGTCTTTTTTAAGCCTCACTTTTTGTTTTGTTTTGTTTCCAATAAAAGAAAAAGGCAAAGTTCAGAGTCTCTGTTATGAGAAGAAATTTGTCTCTATCACACTCAGTTCTAAGATTTCAGAACTGTGCTCAAAGTCAGGTGTCACCTCCTCCTGTTCTTCCTCAGCAGAACTGGCTTTGTGGATGGGAAGATGGTATTTACAGCTGTCTCCCTCCATGCTGCCTTCCTTCCCACACTGGCTTAAGGAAACAGGGAACAAGAAGGTGTGTGCTCTTATTTTCAAAAATGGAAAGATTTTAGCCAGGTGCTCATGGCTCATGCTTGTAATCCTAGCTCTTCAGGAGGCTGAGATCTGAGGATCTTGGTTCAAAGCCAGTCAGGGCAGGAAAGTCCATGAGACTCTTATCTCCAATTAACCACCAGAAAACCAGAAGTTGCTCTGTGGCTCAAAATGGTAGAGTGCTCGCCTTGAGCTGAAGAGCTCAGGGACAGTGCCCAGGCCCTGAGTCCAAGCCCCATGACCAACCAAAAGTGTCAGGATGGATCTTAAAACACACAAACAAATAGTCTTCAGCTTACAAAGGTGTTGTGTCCTGATAAAGGCATGAAAGTTGGAACTAAATACATAGAATCCTGTGCAGTCTAGCACATAGTTTAGTGTCTGCTTTCTCCTCCATTTTATGGTATGACTGACAGCTGGGAGTCACTGCTGCTGTCCAGAGTAGAGAAAGAATATTAGACCAAATATCACTAGCCTAGGAAATGATCAAAACTTACAAGCAGCATTCTACTGAGTGCATGTTATTATCACGCCATCATGAAGTTGAAAAATAGTAAAACTGGGGAATGTTTGTTAGTAGCATAGTTAAAGAGGTATGCATACACACAAAGGACACTCATCAAAATGTTAGCAAAGTTTATCTCTAAGGGTTATGTATAAACTAAGTGCATCCCTTTGTTGTTTTACTCTTTTACTTTGGACATGTACTACTCTTCCAGTAAAAACAAATATGAAGTTGTTTGGAATTTAATAGGGAAAGTTAGTTTCATAAGCCACCATTGTAGGAGGTAAACAACTTTATGAAGCATCATCTAAACCATCTAAAGCCAAAGTGGGCAGTAATTCACTCTGGATTTAAGTAACTGAACTATTTCAGAAGTGTTTTATGGTATGTTAGGCTTGTTTCTATTTTCCTTCTTTGTGTCTCTGTTTATATTATCCAAGTGGTATCCATTGTGTACTTTACATGAAAATAGTCTAGCAAGAAAATACACTAAGTTCTCCCTTTTAGTCTCTTTCTTCTTCCTCCTCTTCTTTAATTCTTCCTGCTAGGATTTGGTATTAGAACCTCAACCTTCTTGTATGTGTGTGTGTATGTGTGTGTGTGTGCACGCGTGCGCACACGCGTGTGCAAGCATATGTACACAAGCATGCACATGCTGGTAGTGAGACTTGAACTCAGGGCTTGACTCTTTTGCTCAAGGATGGTACTCTATCACTTGAGCTACACCTCCCCTTCCAACTTTTTGCTGGTTGCTTGGAGATATGAGTCTCTCATATTCATCTGCCTGGGGAAACACAAGCATCAGATCTCAGCTTCCTGAATATTTCAGATTACAGGCATGCACCATCAGCAGCCCGCAACCTCAGCCTTCTTAAAGCCAGACTCAACCTCTTGCTAACTGATAAACCAGAACAAAGTGATTAACTCTCTCCTAGCCATCGATCTATTATCTTTTGCTGTCTGGTTGGCTCTGGCCAGTGATATCTTTTCTCTATAGCTTTGGCTGGCTCATCTTCCCATTGTTTTGTTTGGCTTACTGAAATTTTGCAAAACCTAGATAATGCTATTGGACTATCACAGAGTTTGTTTGTTTCTTTCTTTTTCCCAAGGAACAGAGAGAAGCTCTGAAAATTATATGTGCTTTCTTTTCTGTCTGCAGTTAAATTCTTGCCATCAGGATGGGGAAACAGAACAGCAAGCTGCGCCCAGAGGTCATGCAGGACTTGTTGGAAAGCACAGACTTTACAGAGCATGAGATCCAGGAATGGTACAAAGGCTTCTTGAGAGACTGCCCCAGTGGACATTTGTCAATGGAAGAGTTTAAGAAAATATACGGGAACTTTTTCCCTTATGGGGATGCTTCCAAATTTGCAGAGCATGTCTTCCGCACCTTCGATGCAAATGGAGATGGGACAATAGACTTTAGAGAATTCATCATAGCTCTGAGTGTAACATCCAGGGGGAAGTTGGAGCAGAAGCTGAAATGGGCCTTCAGCATGTATGACCTGGATGGAAATGGCTACATCAGCAAGGCAGAGATGCTGGAGATTGTGCAGGTAGGTAGCCCTCACCCTTTTGAAGGAGAAGAGTGTGTGTTAGAGGGAAGAATGGAAAGATGCATACGCAAACAGAGGAAAGAGATTACAAGTGGCTGGGTCACCAGGGTAATATATTTGGCCCACTTAGTTCAATACAGGGAGACTGACAATTAAAATCCACAATAGTGTCTCTTAAAAACTCAGGAACTCTGGCAACATGGGACCATGTTATTGCCTGTTATGAATCATCTGCTGCTTTGGAGTAAATGCCCCCCCCACTTCCAGTAGACATTTGTTTTTTAGCTGGCCATATTTACTTATGTATTTATTTATTTATTGTCAGTCCTGGGGCTTGAACTCTGTGCCTGGGTGTTGTCCCTGAGCTCTTCAGCTCAAGGCTAATGTTCTACCAGTTGAGCTACAGTACTACTTCCAGTTTTCTGGTGGTTAATTGGAGATAAGAGTCTCATGGGCTTCCTTGCCCGAGCTGGCTTTGAACTTCAATCCTCAGATCTCAGCCTCCTGAGTAGCTAGGATTACAGGCATGAGCCACTGGCGCCTGGCAGTTGGCCGTCTTTATTGCATCCAGTCCTCCATTGATTCACTGCAGTGACTTGTGTGGAGCTAGAGCCTGGGATCTACTTCTTCCACATGCATTGTGTTAATGATCAAGCTCAAATCCTGCATCTTTCCATCACTACTTCTGGCTCTAACCAAGCTATTTCGCATGAACAGTGTCCTCTGTAAAATATAGACCTCTCAGCACTACCCACCCATGTCATAGGTTTATTTTGTATGTGATTTGTCATGTGAAGTGCTTAGAACGGTGCCAGCCATGGAAAAAAGAAAAGTCAACACCATCATCATTAATTCACAATTTAATAACTTTCTAAGAGCAGAATCTGGACTCTAGATTCTATCTCTTCAAACAGGGATATAATGAAGATACTATCGTTTTACAGAGATACCAACCTGGCTTCCCCAAGTCAAACACTAAGACTAGGTTCTTAGAAGGGAACAGGAAATTTTAGGGCTGGCAGCATTTTCCTTATGGAACCCTAGAAAACTTTGAGGAAGTTGGGACTCCAGGTAAGGAGCTATGGTCATGGCAATGACAGCTTGATCCGCCGTAAATATGACTCAGGGACAGACACAGGACCCAAGAAGGTCTAGGCAAATGGCAAAGACAGTATGGGCTGCCAGTCCTCACTCCTTGGTAGATGGGTAAGACACAGTAGAAAAACACCTAGAAACAAAAAGCAGGACCAAGAAAATGGACATCTGGCTTCCTGGAAGGCTCAGCTCAGGTGTCACACTCATCCCAGGACATCTGGTGAATGTCCCAGAACATCTCAGCAGACCTCTGATGAGGTAGTGCTGTAATCCCTGGGAGAATGGCGAGGAGCTAGATAAGAAGGAGAATGTAATGCAAGGAGACAAAAAGGACAAAGAAGAGAGCTGAGGGAACAAATAAATGAATAGAGCTGAGGGAACGTGGTGATGGGAACTGGGGACAGAGCTAAAGGAGATCTACAACCCTGACCCGTGACAGGGCCCTAGGAGCAGGCCTTGGGAGCAGAACCTACATGGTTAGCTAGAAGGATAACATTGCAAGGATGAAAGAACAGGGATCTCAAATGAACCTTCCTCATCTGGAACTCTATTTCCAAATGCTTCTCTTTCTTTGACTGGGCCATCAGTGGGGTTTCCTTCACCTACAGCCATAGCAATCTAAAAAAAAGTATGTTAATTAATCCCTGAGTGATGTAGATCTTAGATCTTGTCCTCACTCAAGGACAAGTATGTAAGAATATATAATATCTACTATGAAAATATAAGCAGTAGAAGAATATAAAAGGTGAAACGGAACATTAGCCACAGATCTACCATACCACAAAGACAACTGCTGATGATCATTTTCAGTATCTTTTCAGCACCTATTTCCATGCTTTTTAAAAACATCCAGTTGATTTCATAATGTATATGAAGTTTTTTATCTTGCCATTTTCACTTTTTTTTTAAGATGCAAGGTCTAGAGTTTGGATTCAGGGCCTGGGTGCAGTCCCTTTGCTTTTTTTTTTGTGTGTGGGGGGGGGGTCTGGTCTGGGGCCTGAACTCTGGGCCTGGGCGCTGTCCCTCAGCTCTTCAGCTCAAGGCTAGCGCTCTACAGCGCCACTTCCAGCTTTTTTTCTTTTTGCTTATGTGGTGCTGAAGAATTGAACCCAGGGCCTCATGCATGCAAGGCAAGAGCTCTACCACTGAGCCACCTTCCCAGCCCCCTGTCCCTTAGCTTTTTCACTCAAGGCTGGCACTCTGCCTCTTGAGCCACAGCTCTACTTTTTGGTGGTTAATTGGAGATAAGAGTCTCATGGATTTCTTTCCCAGGCTAGCTTTGAATCATGATCTTTAGATCTCAGCTTCCTTAATAGCTAAGATTACAGGGGATGAGCCACAAGCACCTGGCTGATTTTCACGTTTTAAAAACATTAGCAAGGATTTATGTTCATAAAATGGATAAAGAATGGAAACAGAGGAAAGGGAGAAGCATCTGCCTCTCATATTCAGGAAATACTTACTGAAGGACTGAAGTAGACTCAAAATGGTAGGTCCTGTTGGTCAGGGGAATCTCAGTTGAATTTCTCTCTAAACACCTAGTCAACAACTCTTAATCACTCACTAGAGACATTGAATTTGGGGTGAGTTTATTACTCAAAACTTAACCTAGATGGGTCTCATTATTAGTTAAACAAATAGAGATATGGATTACTCAAAACACAAGGACAATAGTTCTAAGTTTCAGGATTTTCACTAACCACACATTCCCTTTAATTTTCTGTCTCTTTATTTAACAAAGTTTGCAGAATATGAACAGTTAAAAGAAGATGGTAACTTTTCAGTCTTTACTTCTTGGTACTGTTTTAGTTTTGAGTTTGGGCCTTTCAATTTTTATTTTTACTTTTACTCTTTCCTCCTCTGTTTATTCTCTCTTATTCCCCTCCTAAATGATTTTGGTTCCTTTTCATTTGAAAAGAATCAGAGGGATATAGGCCGATCTTCTATGGCAGCTTCCATGACAAGTGGACTGTTGGCCAGGCCAACTTTGAGACCCAAAAAAATTGTTTCCATATCCATAGCTAAAGAATGATGTGGAAAGGGCTGGGAAGGTGGCTCAGTGGTAGA